AAGGTTATTTTTCTTCCGTGGTTAAGTAAAAAAAACCCGGGCTCAATTGTACATACCTTATGATTTTACACCACAGATCGAAATGGTCATCGCACCGAAATGAATAAATCGGTATGTTTAAGTAGGAGAAAATCCTGAAATGTCAAGGATTCCAATACAGTGATGTAGCATTGAAGCCTAGTGAGGTGTTGAGACTAGCTTGGTTGAACAAGAACCTCTTGTAGTCAGATATCATTTGCCACAAACACATTTAACCCACATTATCAGTTAGGTTAATGATGCCGAGCAACAGTTTGGTGAGCAAGAGAAAGCAACAGGTTCAGGTTGGCTTTGGTTACAGCTCTGAGACAGCCTTTCTTAAAAGCGCTGCATTCTTGCTCTTTGATTCAGACTAATCTGATCAAGGTGTTGCATTCTCTGTAAATTCAGCTTCTGTGTTCTGAGTCCAACCTGAAATTGACTGCATACTTTGTGAGAACGCACTGCAGACTTGGAAACGTTTCCTGTTGCAGAAAGTTATAGGATTTAAAACTGTTCAACAAGTGTATCATAAATTCAGTTGGTGCCTTCGCAGATAATTGGCTTTATTTACTGGAGGCGCCACCCCATTTGATGACAAAGGAACATTTCAATTAAGGACTAAAAACAATACAAGATTAGCACTCAGACTTTCCCTGCAGTTGGTAATTTCATTATAACAATGTGACATTCATAATAATAATAATAATCCTTGCATTTGATATAGCGCTTTTCACGTCGGGAGGACGTCCCAAAGCGCTTCACAGAACACACTGTAAAGTGAATTGACTGTATATCTGTGGGCGAACGCGGCAGCCAATTGCGCACAGCAATGTCCCACAAACAGTCGTAGATTGAAAATGACCAATTTATTATTGTTTTGGGTTTTGGAGGGATTATTATTAGGGTCTGTGTGGAGTAAGGAAACTTGCCCAAGGTTTCGCCCTGTCTGGAATTGAACCCAGGTCTCTCACTTACAAAGCGAGTGCTCTAACCACTGAGCTACAGGACTCCACAGTCCCACATTATAACAATGTGACATTCATAATAATAATAATAATCCTTGCATTTGATATAGTGCTTTTCACGTTTTCTCGACGTCTCAAAGCACTTCACAGAATATGCTGTAAAGTGAATTGACTGTATATTTGTGGGCGAAATGCAGCAGCCAATTGCGCACAGCAGCGTCCCACAAACAGTCATGGATTGAAAATGATCAATTTATTATTGTTTTGTTTTTGTTCACAGATCGTGTGAATTACATGGGAATTTTATACAATGCAATTTTACATTTACACAGTATCTTTCACATCGAGAGGGACATCTCAAAGTGCTGGATGGGCACCTGAGCTGGGGGTGGGAGCCGAGGGGAGTGGGTAGGGGAAAGATGACCCACAGCACGATCAAAGAGGCAGGTTTTGAGAATTTTGTTCGTTTCTGTGAGTTTTGCCTTACTCTGACTCGAGTATAGGTGTTTCCACCTTTTCCATCGGCCTGGCCTAGACTGGAAAAGAAACTCCAATCACTTTATTTTCGTTGTTTCATTGTTGCATCCTAAATGCTCCACCGGTTTGGTGTTTCACCTCACATCTCATGTCTGCAGCGTTGCTCATCTGATGAAGAGCGATGATGAACCTCTTGATAAACCTACTCAATTAGTAACTCCTGTTTTAAGTCAATGGGTACGAATCCTAGGACAGGATCTGTGTTAAAAGTCCAAATCAGCATGGATAAGTGAGTCAAGAGCAATTGAGACAATCTCCTCAGCTCACTCATCTGGGCATTTTAGTGTCTTATTCAAAAGGTATTTGCTAAATTCTCAACCCAATACCACACGACACTATTGAAATCATGGAGTCATAGTTCAGTACACAATGCTAATGAGAATGAATACCAAGCTGTTCGGTTTCTCTGCCTCCTTCAGACCCTCCTTTGAGCATGTGGATGTTTAAAGGGATCGATTATACTGGCGTTTTTTCAAGGCAGATAATTGCCAATAATACATTATCCTGAAACCTCAGCTGAAATTCCATCAGATTCATTTTTCATTAAAGTCTAAAAAATATCTGTCAAAGCAGACAAGACCAGTCATATCTTTCGACTATGTAAGCTATGTTGTTTTGGAACCTGTGAAAATTGCCTTCAGGCAAGAATGCTCAAGGTTTTTTTTTCCTATTTAGACAGCATCTCTATACAGACATTAATTTGTTCCATTTTCATAGATTTGACTAAAATACCAATTGAGTTACAAGATTGACCCCTATTGGCAATTTACCACTTTGCATACAGTCCTGTTTATGCACAACTTTATATATACAATAGTTACATTGACTATAGGTTGAAGTAACACCATCTTGGGAAAGGAAATTCATCATAAGTAAATTCATTACCTACAAATATACACTACCCTTCAATTCACGGTAGAATCCTGTAAAACACTTTGGGATGTCTCAACGATGTGATGCGGTGATATACCAAATGCAAGGATTATTATTGGATTATCATTGGAATGGAATATCCTGATAAAAATCCAGAGGGTGTAAACGGGGGTAAGTGAGATGAGTCGCAAACCTTGAATCGCTCTCAATACTCACCCTCCTCAAACTCTTTGAGGTTTTGGCTTCTTTTGAGTCTGCTGTCTTACTGACATTCAATTCGATCCTGCAAGTCACAGAGCCTATCTGCCTTGCACTGCCTTACGTTGTATTGTGCTGGCCTGCCCTCTTCTGGCCTCAGAAGCCACTTCAACAGCTGTTTATGGGACAATGCTCCACACACAAATAGGCTGTTTTGTTTGCCTACAAGTACAGTCACTGCAGTTTACAGAAACTTTGAGAAGAAACGTTTCCTTACATTTGATATAACGTCTATTTTATATATATTATAGATGCTATATCAACTGGGAGGATTACAAAATCACACGTTTCGCCCACAAAATATACAGTCGATTCACTTTACAGTATATTTTGTGAAGCGCTTTGAGATGTCTCAAAGACGTGATAAGGCGCTATATCAAATGCAAGGATTATTATTGTTATGATTATTATTACCATTCACGTTGAATGTCCCACAAAGTTGGATACAGAATCAGAACCAACAGCAGAACTCATTGGAAAGGGTGTTATGTACAATGACAGACTGTGAAACCAGACAAAGAGCCGAGATGGTATCTCTTCAACATTGCTTGTCACATTGTAGAAACCCAACTTGTGAAAAGAAGCTTGGAAAGAAATAGCAAGGAGAGTTACTGCATCCAGCAGTGGTCAGAGGATGCTCTTGGAAGACATGAAACAGTGCAACTATCTCGAAGAGTGCCAAGCAAACATACAATTCATACACGCTCTAATTACTGAGATAACCACCTTGGCCAAAAAGAATATTAGGATCACCCTCACTACAACAACTTGCATTTTTATAGCGCCCTCCATGCTGGGCAGCATCCCAGAGTGCTTAACAATGGTACAGCCCGATGCTGAGCCAGTAGGCGGGGGGTGGGGTGGAAGGTACCATTGGCAAGGTCGAAAAAGAAGGACTTCAGGCGCAACCTGAAAATGGGGAAAGGGGGGGGAAGGCGAAAGGATTAAGGGAGGGAGTTCCATAGCTTCAGGAACATTGAGACGTCTGAATGTTATGATAAGGCACTGTGTCAAATGCAAGGATTATTATTATTATTTATAATTAAATATCTGAGTGCTGGTAATAAAACCCCAAGAAAGGCAACTGGTGGTGGAAAAGCGGAAACTCATTGAGGCTGAGGAGTTAATTCTTCCCCTTCATCCACGAGGAGCTCATGGTGAGAATGAAAGAGGAAGAGATGAGGGAGAAGGGAAGGTATGAATGTATGTTTTGCAGTTGTATATCAATTTAAAGAATGTATGGATTGTGTGGTCAACCCACGGGTTCTTTAGAAGTTAGCGATCGATGGGATCAGCAATTGAAGCACATAAATTATATCTCTTGACTTTGAACTGTGCTAGCCTTGTGTTTGTTTCATTGAGCTCTCACCTAGACTTGGGAAGAGTCACTCTGACGCTTTAAATTTCCATAAAACGTGCATTGGAAATAATAATAATAATAATAATAATAATAATACATCCTTATATTTGCCACAGCACATTTCACATCAGGAGGATGTCTCAAAGGCTTCACAGAATATACAAAATGCAAAGTAGAGCGACTGTGGGTTTCGTAGGTGCAGACATGGCAACCAACGTCGGTCACAGCAACGTCGCCCGGACAGACACGGAGTGAAGCGACTAATTTTGTTTTGGTTATCCAGGTGTATCGCCGGCCAGGATACCGGCAGAAAGTCCCCTCTCTGTCCGAGCAGTGGCCGTGGAATCCTTAACGTTCGCCTGAACAGACGCGGGACCCGGGTGTAACGTCGCGCCACGTTCCTGCTTCCACTGCGATCGGAGCCCGAGTTGTATCAGGTATGTGGTGGCGGCCTCCCTCCAGGTGCGTGACATCACCCACCATCCAGGGGAACGAATGGCTCGCTATCCCTCTCCGGGTGTGTGACATCAACCCTCCCTGCAGGTCACTTCCTCCTCCCACCAGGTGTGTGATGTCACTTCCCCTGCCCACCCGGTGTGTGACGTCACTTCCCCTGCCCACCCGGTGTGTGACATCACTTCCCCCTGCCCACCCGGTGTGTGACGTCACTTCCCCCTGCCCACCCGGTGTGTGACATCACGTCCCCCTGCCCACTCAGTGTGTGACATCACTTCCCCCTGCCAACTCGGTGTGTGACGTCACTTCCCCCTGCCCACCCGGGTGTGTGATGTCACTTCCCCCTGCCCATTTGGTGTGTGACATCAGTTCCCCCTGCCCACCCGGTGTGTGCCGTCACTCCCCCCCGCCCCCCGCCCCCCGCGAGCCCGCCCAGCCGGGTGCGTGACGTCACCGCGCCCGCCTTCGTCCGCTCACGTGCGTGCGTGCGTGCGTGACGCCACCGACTCGCCCGCCTGACGTCGCGAGGGCCGCCGGTTGGGCGCCATTGAACGCGGTGCCCGGCGGGAAAGCCGAGCGCATGGCCGGGGCGGTCGGCGGCGGTGCCTCGAGGTCGCTTGTCGATTAGAGGCGGCGGGAGCGAGGGAGCGAGCGGTTAGTTTGGCCGCCGGCAGCCGCTCGCCCCCCCCCCCCCCGGGGATTATTAACACGGGCTCGAGGCGCGGTGGGTCGGTGGGTGTCGGGAAGCTTCGAATTGGGCGGTTATTAAAAGGGGGTCAAACCGCCGCCGCCGCCATGTGTGGTGCCCAGTGAGGAGGGGGATGTCAGTCAGTCAGTTAGTTAGTTAGTTAGTTAGTCAGTTAGCTAGTTAGTCGGTTAGTTAGTCAGTTAGTTAGTCGGTTAGTTAGTCAGTTAGTTAGTCGGTTAGTTAGTCAGTTAGTTAGTCGATTAGTTAGTCAGTTAGCTAGTTAGTCGGTTAGTTAGTCAGTTAGTTAGTCGGTTAGTTAGTCAGTTAGTTAGTCGATTAGTTAGTTAGTTAGTTAGGGCTCGGGTTTGCTTAATAATTCTGGCAAAGTGTTTGACACGTAGAAGAATGTCGACACACACAGCGGTATTGGAGGGAGGGAGTGGGGGGCAGTGGGGTGATGGCAGTGGGGGGTGGGGGGGCAGTGGGGTGATGGCAGTGGGGGGTGGGGGGGCAGTGGGGTGATGGCAGTGGGGGGTGGGGGGGCAGTGGGGTGATGGCAGTGGGGGGTGGGGGGGGGAGATGGGAGCGTCTGCTTTGGTTTATGTGGAGGCATTTGTAAACGGAAGCCCCCCGCCCTCCCCCACACGTTCGCGTGGTGGCATGGTACAGCACAGCAGGAGGCCATGCGGGCCGTCGCGCCCGTGTTAGCTCTTCGAATGGACCGTCCAAATTAGTCCCACTCCCCCCCCCCACCCCACCCACCCCCCGCTCTCCCCACGGCCCTGCAAACTTGTCCTCCGAATACCTATCCGCTGCCCCCCTGAAAGTTGCTGTCGAATCTACTTCCGCTGCCCTTTCAGGCCGCGCGTTCCAGAAAAAAAACCTCTTATCGTCTCCCTCCCCAATGGTTCCTTTGACAACTATCTTAAATCCCCGCCCTCCCTGAATGTTACGGCAGCGTTGAAGTATTAAGTGAGGTTTTTGCCAACCTGTCGTAATGCCCGACGTGAACAGGGTTGCGTGTTAACGTTTGCCGTCTCCTGCCTTAACAGGGAAGTAGGTACCAACATGGAAGCGCCTGAAGATCGAGGCCACAGTTCCATGTGGAATAGATTTCACGAGGAATCATCGAGTAGTGTTGTGAAATCACTGCGAAAAAGTAAAAGCATGGATACTCTGCCAGATTCCAAAAACTGGATACTGAGAGATATCCCTCATTATGAAAAGAATAGGCTCTTCCTCCCTTTGAATTTACCTACAGTACCTCTTAGTAAATGGGAGGTTCTGCTCCAGCACTATATGGAAGCTGGATTTTTTTTGCCTATGAGAGACTACACATCTAGTAGGAGCTGCCCATCTCTGCCGTACAGGCCAGAAGAATATTTCCCAAACAGCTCAGAAGATACTCTAAGCTTTACAGTGGGTAATGCCATCCAGTCCGTCAGTGAAGGTAAGAATCGGTCCTCGCTAATTATTTTGGCAGGGTATATAAGTACTTAAATGCAATCTGTGCCTCAAGCCCATCTCTGTCACTAGGTCAACCTGGCTCAGGTATCACTCTCTCTTCTGCGTCAGAAGATTGTAGGTTCAAGCCCCAAGTCAGCATGTGTGTAAACATAAGGTCAATTCACTTTACAGTATATTCTGTGAAGCACTTTGAGACGTCCAGAAGATGTGAAAAGCGCTATATCAAAATGCAAGGATTATTATTATTTAAATTCACATAGTCTAGGCCAGTGGGGACCAAACGTTTTGGTTGGCCTACAAGATGTATGTTAGAAGTTGTACATATGTTTGAAGTTGTGTATCTGCATATTTGGTTACTAGGTTGCAATGTAGCGCCTTGGGACGTCCGCTTGACGTGAAAGGCACTATACAAAGATAATTTTTGTTGTTATTTTGTTGTATTATAACCATCCTGGAGATGTGGGCGCACTTTCGCATCACTATTTTTGTCAGGCCTGCTTGTGCAGATAAATATGGTTCATCAGCGCTGGATATGGCACAACCTGGTAGTTCAGTGTTAGTACTAGACAGTAGATGTGCTTAATCTTCCTTTCTTTAGGTCTTTTGGAACCCTCTCTCTAGTGTTTATGCATACTGTATTCCAAGCTAACTGCACTGAAACCAGCAGATTAAGGCATCTAAAAGACTCTGAATTAGGGTGTTAATAGTGGAATTTAACTCTGTTTGAATTTACAGAAAGTTTGAGTGCTACCATTCGAACAGGAAATGTTTCCGGTGAGGAAGCAAATCAGTAAGTAGAATAGAAACTTTTAGATAGTTATGCAACTTTCGCAAATACTTATTGTAATGGCTATATAAGCTGAGGGTATTACTGCTGTATTACCATTTAACTTTGAGAAATTATTCTCTGTTGTGACTTTCTATTGCTCTGATGTTTTTATTTCCATCTCTCTGACTTTTTCAATCTTCATCTATAACCCTGCACTATACCTTTTTTAAAAAATATATATTGATTAATACTTAACCTTGCAATGCTGAATCAGACAGAGTGGGCAGTTAGTTTGTAACTTCATGCACTTGTACAATTTAAAATCAAATTGTGGTATTATATATGCAGATAGTCAGCATGCCTGTATAAATGTTGGGAGTTAATAATATATTAACGGGAAGTGGACTAGTCAGATGAAATCGTGCGTTTGCATCAGCTTCGCCTTTAACATGTAGTTGGCAGCAGACGTTTCTCATGTGTTTATATCTCCAGGTTTGCTGCTGAGCCAGGTGATGTGAAGCAAGCTAGTTATACAAATAATAACAGAACACCAGAGGATGCAAGTCACGAGGAACTAGTCTTGCTTCAAAGAGCTGTTGAAAGGTAATGTCACATAAGAGCTCTACATGTAGATGCTTCTCATTATCATGCCCCTGCATTAAAATTTGCTTTACTTTTGCTGAGGTCTGAATAATTTATGGTTGTGTGATAACCCATTGTGGTTGCAAGTATCCTGAGAAACACAAGCTTAACACTTGTAAAAGACAATATTTACAATGCAACAGTTTAACCTTTTTAAAAGGAAAATTGACCCAGATTAGCTGAATGAATTAAACGGGTTTAGGGACCAGATCAGAAATGATTTGGGTTCAATTCTTGGTCTGTCCTGACTTGATTGATCTCAGCCAGGTTGGTCGCTGAATTGATGCAATTTGCTAGAGCATTCATGGGTTGACGGAGCTTGGGTTCCTGCTTCCATTACAATCCAGGGACCCTGCTAGAATACATGTGTAGGTACATGTTGGGTAAAAATGGATCAAAGCTTAACTGATTTTCTTCCTTTCCCGTCCACTCAAACGCCTACATATATCTGACATGGAACAAATTGGTTTAGGTACCAGAGGACAACTGATAACTGGAACCATCACCTAGGATGAGTCATTTCCATCATAATATTGGGGTGAATTTACATAGCTATGTCAGATACTACACTAAAGTAATGTAATTTGATGTGCAACTAATGTACCATATGAGAGTGTACGGCTGTGAATTAAAATATTGAGTTGTAAAGGGTATATGTAAAGATGATCACTTCTGTTTCCAGTGCCAGTGTGTCAACCACTCAATTCCAAGCTTATGACCATCAACTTTATGCAGACTTAAGGGAGGAAATAAAAGGAGCACAACATTTGGAAAACAGTTTTCTAAGCCTGTCAGTGAACACTGACAAAATGGTGAGGAATATAATTTGTCTTCCTTCAGATACATTGACTCATCCTGAGATGCAGATCAATGGATGCAATTACCTCTTTGAAGTGGTCTTTCTTTCTGTGTCAGCCTAGCCTACACCACCATTGGCAACTAATCTTTCAACCACTATTATTGTCTCTATCCTCTGAACTCCCTTCTTAAATCCCTCTGCCTTGTCCCCTCTCGGTCTTTAAAAGCCTCCAAGAAACCTATCACTTTGACGGTGCCTATGTGTGAAGAAACATTTTCTCCATTTGCTTGATTGAAGTCATCTGCTCATTTTTATGCAAGTGATATATTGTTGATGGTTAATTTTTTTCTGGTTTTCAGAAGATGGTTCAGTTCAATTGTGTAACGTAAACCCTTCACAACATTTCCTGCACATTCTAGAATTACTGCGAAGATATGTTTTCCTGAACTATGCTTTCAAGTTTGCTTTTCTGAAATGTTCCAAAATGGCTTAAAGTGAACCGGATATGGCTCTATTATCAAAGATAATAATACTTTGAATAAAAAAAAACTTTGTTTACTTTTAGGTTAACCTGACTGAGATGGTGAAGGAGCTTCCAATAAAGGATTTAAGTATCGAGGTGAATATTCACTGATTCAGGGTTATTTCCCATTCTCTGCAGTAGGGGCAGCAGTTAAAGAACACGCTGATTAGTAAATATATATTCAATTTAAAGTATGTTCTGCGAAGCACTTTGAGATGTCTCAAAGACATGATAAGGCGCTATATCAAGTGCAAGGATTATTGTTGTTGTTATTATGTTACTAAGCCTGCATGGACCCAGACTGTGGTAAAATGGTATATCTTGTAGCCGCTATGAAATGCAACGAATACTATTATTATTTTGTCCCCAGATCAATTTCACAGAAGTGGTGAATGAATGTACTATAAAGGACATGGCCATTAAAGAGGTAGGTATTCACCAATTGGATGCTAAATTCAGGTAACTCCATCTGTGCACCAGTTAATGTGGCCAATATTGGGGGGGAAACAACCCAAGAAGAAAAAATGGGTCCTCTAGGAGTCAGTTTGCAGAGCAGAAGCACCAATAAAAGATTTTGACGCACTTGAATACAGGTCTTTCAGATCTGAAAGTGAGAGATTGTTTAACATTTAGGTGTTCTGATTGAAAACTCATCACCAGATAATTACCTTATTTTTTTTAGATGTTGTGAAATATCCAGCATTCATTTTTTTATGTTTGTTCATACCTATGTCCAAGTGCATTGAAATCTGTTTGACAATATCAGATATGCAAGTCTAGTAAACAGCAGGCCTTATGTTCAGTGCTATGAGCCCAAAATGCTTTGATCTGCTTTGAGAAGGTTTTCGTCTGAACCCTCTGAATTGGTTTCTTACTATCATTTACTTTGGGTTCCTCCTGCCTGACTGAAGCCACTTTTGATTACTGTTCTGTGTTGTTCCCTGAAACATTATGTTCAACTCTATGCTCAGTTTAAACTGAAAATTGCCAAGCAGTTTATTTTTTTTATAGGAAACGTGTGTTTCCTATAAAAAAAATATACAAAAAGAGACAGAAGTTTTTGCAGTGCATAATTTGTATCAGGTAAATAGAGTATGAAATCTAACTATTTTGTGTCCATTTCTTTCCACACAGTTATGTAAGATTTCATATGAATAGTGTGTATTACAATAGTACCAAGATGGACAGTCAGAAGTGTGTTGTAATTTCTTTATTTTATTCATTGGGCATGGTGCATGCTGTTAACTTAAGTTACTGCTTTAACCCTCAAGTCTTCAGAACATTGTTTACGCAGTCGAATGGGTAGAAGAACACCAACTCTCAGAGGGTTTTAATCTATTGGAAAATTCCAGTTAATAAATTGTGTCCTATGATGGATTTAATAAGTTGTTTATGTTTGTGCAGATGAACGTAACCACTGAACTAATGGATAAATTTGAAGAGAAAATGCCAGTAAGTGCTTACTTTGATCATAATCTTCAACTGGGTTGAAGAGGATGGTCCCAACTACTTTATTTGATATCTAATCAATCTAGTCCATGTTCTGTTTATACACACTTGGAACATACATTATAATAACTAGCTGGAGTTCGCAAATGGTATGTGAGACGGTACAAAGTTTTGTTTTGCTTATGATGCCGTATGTAAGGGCAACCCTGTAAATACAGATGGTGCTAACTGCATGCTTTTCAACTCTTTTTTGCCCTATGATTGGCATTTTGGCCGGCCACTTTTAAACACTGCATTCAGTAAACAATGCTGATAGCGAAAATAAATATACTATACCTCTATCACCAAGAGTCTTGCTACCCCTGGCTTCCACAGAATTTCATCCAACACCAAATATTACTTTGGTAATATTTGATTGGGAGTAAATGAATGTAAAATTAGCTCAATTCGCTCACTCTGATGCACCTTTTTTCTATGCAATGAATTTATCTTTATTTAGGACTGATCCTAAAGAGTACAGTCTGTGCTTGTGCTGCTTGTCATTATTTGCTAATAATTCTGCCTTGCTTCAACCTATCGTGAATTTCAATCTGGAGAACCATGAATGGTGTGACAACATGGAATCTGCCCAATGACACATTTTTAATATTTTGCTTCGTGCTGACCACAGTTGCACAATTCTGTGCAATCTTAAATTATAGGCTGAAAGTTTCTTCACTATTTGGTGGCTCCTTGGGACGTCCTCTCCAGGTGGAAAGCGCTATACAAATGTAATTTATTGCTGTTGAAATAGTCCTATTGGCTGAGACCAGGTGGAATTCCAAATGTGTAATTTTTTTAAAATTCTGTTATTCTACTATAATATTCTCTTATAATCTTGTAGTAACTCTTGGAGCAGGTTGTGTCCCTGCACTGTTTCTTCACTATATCAGAATCTCGTCCAGGCCTTATGTATTTTACTGTAATTTGCAAAATTTTAACTTGAAAAATGTAGTTGAAGAGACACTGTTCATATCAACTTAATTTTTTTTATAGTGTAAACAAGGAGAGGAGGAAGTTAAACTCGTAAAGGATAAGACTGAGGTAATGAATTGGGTTATTCTGCAACTTTTCATCCTATTCCCTTCTCAGAACGTGTTGCATTCCTTTATTTTTCTTCCTTCTGCTGTGAGTGGGTGCAGTTTCCCAATTTAATTGAGTTGCTCTCTTTAATCTTTCCTAAGTGAGCTTACATGATCATTATCCTCAAAGTCTGTAGTCTCATTGCCGTCTGACATTGGAGTGGGAACGTTCCCCCACACACACACACACCCCATACAACAACAAAATTACATTTGTACAGCGCCTTTCACGTCGGGATGACTTCCTAAGGAGGTGGACAGTCAATGTTTCGGACCCGAGCTGGGGGTCGGGATTGGGTGGAGGGCAGGGGGGGAAGCAGGAGGATCGAAAGCACGGTTGGAGAGGAGAGGCCTGAAATGGGTATCTCTTTCTCTCGCGCACGTGTGCGCACTCACACTCCCGAGCCCAAGGATTGAGGGAAAAATAACTATTGAGTCTTTTTTTCCCTAACATTGTATGGTGACACGAAAATATGATTTCCAAAATATAATTTTTTTATAGATGGAGGAGAGAGGAATTAGTGAAAAGAAATCAATCAATGTAAAATGTTAATAACTGTTAAAAACGAATACAAAGAAACATCTCAATTTCAGAATTTTTTTTATATATATGTGTATATATAGGTTCGCTGCAAGAACAAAATAACTCAATTTTTTCTGGAAGATTATCAGGTAAATTTCACAAATGGAAGGTTTGGGTGCATTTATGATTTTAATTTGTTGTGTTTTTTTTAACTGCTGTGTTTGACACGAGTAGTTTATTTCTTTATGTAATAGCAGCATGGAGAATTTCAAGTTCTTTTGGCTGGAGATCTTAATTCATATTCTACCTATTCTGTAATTTGTATTGAAAATATTTATTTTTTGTCTATCTTAGAAAGTGGGAGCCCTGCAGATAACTGGATCTCTGGCTAACAGCGGGCTCCAAATCTATTACTTTTTGTTTAAAACAAATTGGAGAAATATGAATATTTCACTTGTGCCATTTAAACAAAATCAGGTCAAAAGTGGCTGCTGCTTCTGACGTGGTCCACAACGAATGCAGGAGTGCTAGAGCTGAGTCAAACCTGATTACTCCGAGACAAAAATCAACTGTTGTATTCTTAAGATTGCAATGCAACGCAAAATTACATCACGTCAGGAGGACGTCCCAAGGCGCTGTGCAGTCAGCGATTTGGACCCGAGCTGGGGGTCGGGGAGGGTATGAGGGTGGCCGAAGGCTCGGTTAAAGAGGAGGGTTTTCTGACGTGCTTTGAAGGAGTCAAGGGAGGGAGCGAGGTGAAGGGAATGTGGGATGGAGTTCCATAGGGTGGGGGCGGAAAGGCTGAAAGTGGTACAATACAGTGTAGTGAGATGTAGTTTGTGGTTGTAAACAAGGGTGGGGGGAAAGGGGTCGTGCTTTCTGAGCCTCTTGTAATAACTAAATAGGGATAAGAGTCTGTACCTCTCACTCTGAATTATGTGATATTGGCAGAGGACTGAGCAAGTGGGGAGGAGAGGGAGAAAAACAGCTCATTATAAATTTTCAGCTTCAATAGTGTAACTCTTATTCCTTTAGGAATTGGACACAGACCTTAAATATTCACAAGAAATGTTTGACCTCGATGAAGATGACGATAGTTTAGAAATGTAAGTCCTGAAAATGACAGGTTGTTTTGCAAAAATGAATATACAATACAATAGCATGTCACACCTGATCAATTGGGCACAGCCAGTAGTGAAATAGCATGTTTAAAGTGTTATGAAATGAAGGAACAAACCTTTCCATAAGCCTCGAGCTCACTAACTCAATGTTCTTGTCAGCGTCTCATCATAGAATATATTCCTATGGAAGGGAAAGCTATTCCCACAACACGTAGCGATTTTTTTTAAGCAATGGGTCCTTGCTTGAAGGATATCACTGTATGGGATGGTATCAAATCAAGGTAAGATAATGTCTACAACTTTGTCCTTTTCCCGCTGAAACATTGATTTGTTTTTAGGGAGACCCAAACGATACTGTGCATGCCATTCTTGTGCAGGAGAAGGAAAACTAAACAGAAGACGGAGGTGAGTTAATTGTTTTTGTGTTTGGATAACCTCTTCGATGTTTTGTACGATTTAAACAACTGTCCCACCACCTTGGGTACCCCATAGATAGCTAATTTAGGGTGATCAACACTGCACATTTCTTTCAATGCATGTCTCAAAATGTACCCAGTTGACGCTCTTTGTCATCTTTTCCCATCCCATGCCCCGCTCAGGTGTCCAAATAATGCCATGAAGGGCTTTAGACAGCCTCACGATGTGAGGCACCATATAAACATAAATTCTATTATATAGTGTAAACTGCAGGAGTTTATTTAATGGTATAGGCATTCTTTTACAATTTATTTGACATTGAGGATTTTAATGTTGTTATCCAATTAGATTTTCCCCATGGAAACAGTAAACAACAACAGCAACTTGCACTTATATAGTGCCCTCCACGGAGGGTTGCGTCTCAAAGCGCTTAACAGTGGCGGAGCCTGACTCCGAGCCGGGGGGAGGGAGGAGGCCGTAAGCACGGTCGAACAGGAAAGTCTTTAGGCAGGACTTGACGGGGCGGAGGGGGTGGCAAGGCGGAGGGATTGAGGAAGAGTGTTCCAGAGTTTTGGGGCGTAGTGGCTAAAAGCATGACCTCCAATGGTGGGGCGGAGGGTGATAGGGACGAGCAGGAGGCCGGTGCCAGTCGAGTTTTAAGGCTCTCTTTGCACTTAACATGAGCTCCAGAGTTTTTGTTTAAACAGGGTGCTTCCTGCTGCAGAAGATAACTTACTGCTTGTGGAGATCGTTGAGACTGAATTAATTCTACGCGTTATATAATTAGTGGACTTCCACAAATTCTGTTGTAAATTGTTTCGAGCAGTTCATATGTTTAAGCTACCTCGTTTTTGACTTAAACTAATAAAGAATATTTTTTCCGTAACCTGGTAATTTGTGCTTGCTGCCTCAAGTCAGAATGTTCAGTAATAATAGTCAGGTCATGACAATTACCAAACTGTTGTACAACCCACTCTGTTCCAACCCACTCTTAACTCAGCCAGAATTGTTCAACTATAGGGAACAAGGGACAGGTTTCTATTAGGTCTTGAGCATGCTTCCAGTAAAGGCAACGATAGTTACTGGGCTTTAAAAGCCTTTCCTGAGCTTCTGAGATCTTGGGAGTTGTTCTGTCAACAAGGAAACTTGGCCCACATCTGGAATTGAGAGGAGGGTGTTGATTGCTTCTCTGCGCCGGGTGAGATGCACCAAAATCTCTGATCTAACAGAAAGTGAGGCAGGAGAGGAGATATATGGACAGGTTAGCAGAGTGCATGGGTACCAACAAATGGAATACAATACCGAAAAATGTGAAGTACACTTTAGAGAAAATGGAAATGTGTCCCGAATGGGGAGTGCGAGGACCGAGATTGTCCCCCGACCCACCCGCCCCACCATTGGCGGGAGAGCCTTCAGCCACTCTGCCCCCAACCTCTGGAATTCCACCCCCAGTCACTCCGCCTCGCCCCCTCCTTAGCTTCCTTCAAGTCCCTCCTTTTCGACCATGCCATCACCCTCCCCCCCCCCTTCCGACACCCTACCTCAGCTCGGGTCTGAAATGCTGTACTGTGTCCAGCGCCTTGGGACGTCCTCCTGACGTGAAAGGCGCTATACAAATATAATGTTAAAGCAGAGAAAAATTAGGAATCGGGTTTTATATGCAGAAATATTGAATTCAAATTAAAAGAAATTAATGAATTACAAGGCATTAGGTAGGCACCAGTTTGATGCCACAATATAGGAAAGATATTTAGAGGTACAGGGAGGCTGCAGTGTAGTTTCAAGCTATTTCTTGCCCAATGTTTCGTTCTGCCGGGAATCAAACCCAGGTCTCTATGTTGTATTACCCCTCCCCTCCCCGCCCTCCACCCCTCCTGATCCCAACCACCAGCTCGGGTGCCGATCCCTGACTGTCCAACGCCTTGGGACGTCCTCCTGACGTGACATTGGACCTGAGTTCAATTCCAGGCAGAGGGCGAAACCTTGGGCAAGTTTCCTTACTCCACACAGAGCCTAATAATAATCCCTCCAAAACCAAAAACAATAATAAATTGGTCATTTCAATCTACGACTGTTTGTGGGACATTGCTGTGCGCAATTGGCTGCCGCGTTCGCCCACAAATATACAGTCAATTCACTTTACAGTGTGTTCTGTGAAGCGCTTTGGGACGTCCTCCCGACGTGAACAGCGCTATATCAAATGCGAGGATTATTATTATTATTATAACGTGAAAGATGTTCACCCTCCGCATTTGGGAACTTTGAGCTGCGGTCTGGGGCGGGGCGCTCTGGCCAGTCGGTCGCCACCAGGCGGCGCTGTTACACACGATCAAAAAAGAGGAGAGGCCGGTGTGCTATTAACCGCAGTTTTACCATGAAAGATAATAGTTTTATTTCCAGGTGCGAGAGATATTTCCTGGCGCCTGGCTCGGTTTTTTCCCAATTTGACTGGAGCAGCGTCGCAGTGCGATCGCTCCTTCCGCTTGTCGTTTTTTGATCGTGTGCGAAAAGCGCCACCCAGAGATGATTGATGGTTTGGAAATCCCCGGGTCTGTCACTCGAATACAGCGTTGGGAGAGCGGTGTGTTGGAGCAGGTGGCAGCCATCCTTGAAATGAGACGGTAATTTGAGTCCCCCCCTCTGCCTGTTCATGTGGATGACAAAGATCATGCGGCGCTATTATTTTAAAGAAAAGCAAAGGAAGTTTCTCTCCCAGTGTCCCGGGCAACAGATCCCTCTTGACTGTAGACATAAATTGGCTACTGTATTCACCTTTAAGTATATAGTCACTGCACTTTACAAAAAGCTTTGTGAAGTGGTTTGAGGCACTCAGTGCTGTAGGTACTATTTGAAATTCAAGGATTAAGATCCTTATCAGATCTTGCTTCACAAAAGATTTTTTTTTTACAAGCAAATTTTGTTCTTCCACCACTCCCTGAGTTTCCTTTCCTGAGAAGGTTGACAGCTTAACAAACTATTCCAATTGGCCTGGTGCGCGGAACTTACTGAAAGCGTCATTTTGTAAAGCAGTGCAGCGGAAAGAGACATCGTGACTTGGGCCCGTTTCCAGGCAGAACCACGAATCATGGCACTCGGTTTGTGCAAGGGCTGAAGTCCTGAGCGTTGAAGATGTTGGCCACTGTGCATTATTACTCACGGTACGAGTTTGAAGTGTCACAGCGCGTACCAAAAGTAATAATGGGCTGTCACCAACGTTGGCTTCACTGTCCTGTCTGGAGAAGGCCAGGATTGGATGCAACAGGAGAAGATTCAGAAAGCAGCAGCAATGATAGTGTCCTTTCCACATAGACCATTCATGGTCTACGTTACTGAGATTTCCCCCAATTTCAAGTGTGATCCCACCAGTGTGGTCGTCGTTTCTCCCCCCGCAACCACCATAGAGCCGTAACAATACTTTTAAGTTCTTACCCTCCAGCTGTGAACCCCCACTTTCCATTTCGTCAATGACTCTTTGCATCTGTGAAATTGAATCCACAAAGCTGCTACGCCCCTTCCCCCTCTGCTCGGGATTTCAAGAGAGAGACACTGAGCATACTGTCTGCTGAGTTGTCTGATCTCCATTACTTTCTGCCTGGTTAGCTTCCATAAAGTAGTTATTAGAAACATATTTCCATTTAATCTATTAGCAGTGGGAGTTTAATGCTTAACAAAAAAAAAGCAGATGCCGTTCTAATGGTTCCACGGGAACTGTGCCAAAATAGCCTGAAGATGTGAAGACAGGACAGTTTGTGCTTTCAAATGATGCTAACCCGGTTTAAAATGCACGAGTTAAGATTTCAATCTTAGATTTCAAGGATTACCGAGTGTGATGATGTTCTCAAGACATTTTGAATTCTTGAATCTGGATCACTCCTGAGTTGATGAGCTGAACTCAGTTCCCGAGTGTGTTCGTCTTCCTGCTTCACAGTGGCTTACTTCACAGTAAGCATGATGTTCCTTCGAATACCTTATTCAAAATATACAGTCAATTCACTTTACAGTATATTCTGCGAAGCGCTTTCAGACTTCTCGAAGACGTGATAAGGCGTTATATCAAATGCAAGGATTAGTATTATAGGATTATTATATTCTTAGGGCCATCGAGGCAAGCAATCTTGTTTTGTGAGTGTCGGGCTCCCGAAATCTGTACATTTGTAAATTAATTAGTTTCCCAGTTGTAACAAAATAATTCTCAACGGGGCAGATAATTCTTTGTAGCCTCCAGGATGATCAGCAAAAGATCATTTCAGAGTAGACCAGAGGGATGTTCACAGCTGGTGTTCCAATTAAAAGAACCATTTACAAGTTTTGCAATTTTTTTGCCCCATTTAATATTTTAGACCAGAATTCAATCAGTCATGTCTGCACCACTGCTCTTTGTCTCTAAATTGTCTGAACATTAATCCCATTTTCCCTGTATCTTTTAATATAATTTAAGGCAATTCATCAAGTGTTCCTTGTGGTATTTCCTCTCTTCCCCCTCCCCTACAACAATGGGAAATTCCCACTCAAACATTTCAGTCATAATACATTAGAAGAGGAAATCAGCTGATAAAACCTCTATTCAAAATAGAACACAAATATATATTTATACAATGCCTTTCACATGAGGACATCCCAAGGTGCTTAACAATACTGGCTCTGCATCTGAACTGGGGGGTGGGTAAAGAGGTGGGTGTTGAGATGAACCTTCAACGAGATAAGGGAGGGAGGGGGTCGGGGGGACGCCAGGCTGGAATTCCAAAGAGTGGGGGCAGGAAGGCCCGTCCGCCGATGGCAGGATGGGTGGGACTGGGAACATGAGGCAGGTCGGTGTCTAAGCGAAAGGAGTGGCCAGGGTTTGCGGAGGTCACAGAGCTGGGAAGGCTGAGAACGCTTCAAGAACGACAGATGGGAATTGGATCTCAGCAGGTTCAAAATCTAAGACTGTGAAGTCGGTTCTCTGTAGATCTTAAATGAAACATACGGTGGGGGTGGGGGTGTGAAACAGCTTCAAAATTACAGCTGCCTTTCAGAATTTCCCAGATTCCTGACACTCTGGACACATATCAAGAGTAAAATCTAAACCCAGGTGGAATTTCTCCCCAGTTAAGAGTTACTTAGGAATCAAAGGAAAGGAACAAAGGAGTTTGCCAAAGGGTGGCTCGTGTGCCAGGGCTGGGCTTGGACATTAGGGCGTGGACATTGAGCTATGGTACAAATGCACAAGCGGGTGGAAGATAGTAGAAAAAATTGCTAGTCGGAGTGAAGGGAAATCTGTACTTGTTGACAACTTGTACCTTGTTATTATTTATAATACTACATTATTATTTAATTCTCTTACACAGTGTTATGCTAAGTTGTTACCTCGACAGTCACAGTGTGCGAAGTCCTTTTTTTTAAGGGGATGAAAGCACTGGTAGGGCTTGGGTCTCTCTCTTCTCCTTTGCTCTGGTCGGTGCTGTGAATGGGTCAGGTCTGGCCATCAATCTGCAAGAAAAGCAAGCGCGATCCGTCAAACAGAGGCGCCAGAGTCCAACCAGTGGACCTTACACCTCAGTGCTTAAAGAGTTTATTGAATCAAACCATTTAGACTGGTTACAAGTCAAGAATTGACTGCTGCGGGAATTGGAAACTAATATTGAAATCAGTCCAAAAACAATTACATCTACCATCAAAGCCATTTGAGACTCCCACTGGAATTCTACACATTGACCTGCGGATTCAAAACCCATCGGTTTGGAAAATGGATTTCGTTGAGGCTTACGATGTTATTCAAAAAAAATAAAGTTATGGTAAAGTCATCAAACTAAACACACAACGAGCGTTAGGCTCCTTTTACCCCAAGGCTCCTTTTTTGCTACTGATTTCCTCTCCACGTTACACAACTTGCAGTTCAGGTTTAGATAAACTACGCCCTTGGGTTAGTTGTAATCGAGGAGCGTTTTGAGGCGCTACGTCAATTTCGAGGATCATCTCTTATTCATTAGAACAAAGTATCAAAGAAAAAGACAAGATATTTTGCGTTGCTTTTTGCAGCTTTTCAACTAACCTTAGTTCTCAGGCCAGGAGAGCTTCTTTGGTTCCAAACAGCCATCTTTCTTATCACTTTGAGCCACATTTCTTCTCTGTGCGTGTGTGTGTGTGTGTGTCTCTCCTCCCTTCCCCTTTCAGTTTGAATTTAAGACGATCAGATCTTTTTTTTCTCGCCTCTTGGATGCCAGGACTGGGAATGATTGAAAACAACTTTCAGCCCCTGATTTTTATGCTTTCCATCCGGTGACGGATGGTTTATAAATCAGAAACGAGAGACAATTGGGGCCGGAATTCCTGTTACCTGCTCTTGGCTGATAAAGGCTTGTTATAACAAACAGCCATCCTGTTAGCTGCTAATCTCACACACACACACACAGTCCAAACACGTAACTAGTAATTCAGCAACTTTTTTACACTCCTTTCCGCTTTGCTACGGTTTCTTTTTGTATATAAAAAAAGAAACGATTTCTAAACCGCTACAGATGTGTTTGGTAAATTCATGGACTTGATACACGTTAATGATTCGTTGCAAAATTTGAAAGGACAAAAAGTGGGCAATGTGAGGTAAGGCAGGGGTGGGTGGGTGGGTGGTCGAGATATTCTTCGATGAGATTGTTTTAAAAGCTTTGACACTGGCTCTGACACTGCTTTCAAATACACAGTCAATCCAGTTTACAGTATTCTGTGAAGCGCTTTGAGACGTCTCAACGACGTGACAAGGTACGGTATCTAATGCAAGGATGATTATTATCATTAAATCTGAGGAATCAGCCGTCTATCTGGGCTCAGAACATTACTACTCTCCCATCAGACTCGCTCCTCTTCCAACCCAAGTCAACTCAAGCCCGTCAATACATTGATTCTGCAAGCAAAATTGAGACAGCGGGAGAAACTGGCTGGAATAAAACAGGAATATAAAGTTGGTCCCGATACTAATTTTGTGTGTGTGTGAAGATATCGCTGTGTTTCAGATTAGTACGCCCTGAGACTGAGCCCCACAAGCCCAAACCCTAACGAATAGAGTTGGTTCTAACCAGTCAAGCAGCTGCAAAGTTTGCCAGGCAGTGCCCTCAAAGACAAGCCGTGTGGTTTTAGCTGGTTAGACTCTAGCAGTTACCCCAACGCACACTATGGGGTCACAAAGCCTTACCAACCTGCGCCTAATACTTGCCGGAATTAGGTAAGCATCCCTCCGGGGAGAGAGCGCGCATTCCATTCTAACAAACATATCTGGAATTTCCATGTGTAGGTGGGGATGTATGGAATTCTCAGTTTGGTTTGGATACTCTTAAGCGCGGTGATGGATTTCCGCATTTGCCAGACACCCGTCTGAGCAAAAAGACTTTTCCTAGTTTCCTTGATACATTTCAAACTATTGCCTGGGTTTGCTTTGTTAATTCCATTCACTATAAACTCCAGAAAGTCCCCTCTTCTAAAAGCTGCAGCACCTCCCCCTACCCCCCCACCCCCGTATCTAATCTTTCCATATAACTCACCCCTATAGTACTGAGGATCACTGCTTTCACCAGTACTGAATTTAGACTCTGGTTAAACCGCTTCTATCACAGTAACCAGAGCTGGATGCAACATTCCATGATTTGAGCAGATATGAACTGAACTCATTTGACAGTATAACCTAGTATGCCTTTTTACATTGCTGGCTCATACTATTTCGACATGTTGCTAAGCAATGACCCAACTACTGTAATACGCCTACTTCTCGTTTCACTTTCCCCCTTGATCGAATCTACCCCCGTGGAGAGTGCACGTGCTCCTATTCGTACTCACTCTATGTGGTGCTTTGCACTAATCTCTATTAAACTTAATTTGCCAGCCTAAGTGCACATCTCGTTTGATACACTCTCCGATTTCAAGAACTTCACACTTACTTACAAATCAAGTCACACCTCAGCTCCTCCATACTTTTTCCGACCTGCTTGCACCTCACTCCTCTACCCGCTCCCTTCACTCAACTGGTTCTGGCCTTCTACATGTCCCTCATTCCATAATTCAGCCTAAATCTCTCCACCTTGCCCCCTCCTTGCCTGTCTTCAGATCTGAAGACTTTCCTCTTTGACCATGGCTATGATCACCAGCCTCTTCTCCCTGACTTGGCATCAAGCTCCACCACTATTAAGCACTATTAGGCACTCTGAGACGCTAGCCCAGGTGAAGGGCACTACATAACTGCAAGTTACTGTTGTTATACTATACGTCCATTTGATGAAAAAAAATCAGGCATTCCTAGCTCACGCATGGATTAATTTCGATTTTAAGAGTCGGAAAACAAGTTTAAAGATGCAGATTGAATTCTATGTTGAACCTCACAATTAAGAATCCAGCATTTGTCTTTTTACCGGCAACAAACAGGATATGAGTCGGGGGCACAGTATTATTTTTTAAAGAACAATTAAAATCTGGTTCAAATGGGAAACGGAAATGTGTCAAACGGCTGAGCTTTGGAGGGGGAGGGTTGACCTTCATTTGTGGAATCCGGATAGATTAAAACTGATTTGCAAGGAATTTTTGAGAAAATGTCCCATTTTCCTAATCTATTTCATTCTTGTATCCCATGGCTACATAATCTTTATAAACTACGTCTTGCCATAAAGTCCTTAATGCAAAATATACAGAGGCCACAAGCAGAATCTTCAAACTGCAATAGTTAACGATAATAATCCTTGCATTTGTTATAGCATGTTTCACTTCACGGGGACATCTCAAGGTGCTTTACAGGTTTTAGTGTAAAGTGTAGTGATTGCGTACTTTGTAGGCAGATCCAGCTGCCAATATGTGCACAGCTATGTCCCACAAACAGCCATAAAGTGATTATTTTTTCTTGGGGATTGTTGACCAGGACACTCCCTGTTCTTTTTGAGCAAAACCACCAATAAATAGATTCTGTATATTTTTAAGTTGGAAGTTTCATTTTGAGTACGTCAGGGTAAAAGATGAATAGGATATGAGGATATGAACAGTTGTACAGCCAGCACAATGCCAACAGATCAATGACCTACAAATACTTTTGAAAAGGCTGATTTTCTTTGGTACCATTTAAGTTTGTGTGTAAAGGTGGTTTGAGTAAAGCAAACAACATTTCCATCTCAGACAGCCAAAGAGGATACCCTGTGCAGGATCATATCCTGTATCAAGTTTCAAGGACACACTATCCTCCTCTGGAACATGACTGATGTGACTCACTGGTGATTAAACTATTAAATAAAGAGTGACCTAATGTAAGATAGTGGCACACTGATGTAGATACTGAATGCCTTTAGACTGGGATTGAAACACAATCTGAATTCAGAATCCTTAAGTAATGAATAGGAATTTCCTCGGTGCATAACATCCATGTCCCGTTCTTTTTTGGTCCTCGGGTATCTGACCACGCTTAAGTGCATGGCCCCAATCGACCTCGGCAATTTTCTCCACCCCAACTCCCTCTGCAAAAGTAAGGCTGCTGCATGTCACCCAACTCCTCCACACCACCATTGACAACCAAACTTTTTGGCTACTACATCTATCCTTAACTCCAGGATTGCTGGATTCTTGACAGGTAGTCTTAACAGTAATGCTGTTAAACCAAGACAATCACGTGGTTCACAATGAAATCTTACGACTGATCTTAGGGTTCAATAAAAATAATTTCTACTCTGCGTCTAATGTCAGCATCTTGAGGATTCACCTACATTTCCTTCTGTGATGTCCCCACGACAGGGCAACCGGTGGAAGATTCAAAGTTCTGTGCCATTGTATCACCCTCGGTAGTAGCTTTAAGCATTTTAAGTACATTTTGCATTTTGCATCAATCAAAGAGGCCAGCCTAGGGTTAACTAAAACTGGAGTGCAGGCTGTTTCAGCTCAGTTGTCACCTGACCTGGTCTTCAATAAAATCCCCAAAGCTTATTCCATTCCTCAGTGCAGAACCACTTTTAGTTGAGACAGGAAATGCCCAGACGGAGATGTATGTTTCCTTTCTCTGGCATAAAAAAAGCTCTCAGTCAGTAGATTTGTGACTGCAAAGTAGAGATAACCCAGGGAATCGTACACATTACTTCCACCTTTTGTTTCACAACTTTGAAACTTTCCTGAGTTTTACACCAAAATTGAGATTGGTTTTCATTCCTTGTACATGCAGAAAGCTCATTAACCTCTGCAAACCCTTGTTGGCTGATTTTGAGAATGTTAGCCCCCATCTCTTGTGGAGCCCTGGTAAATATGAGTGCTATGACCTGTGTGGGATTTATTATTGGGTGGATCAGGGGCCGCTACAATATTCATGTATGATAATACATATTAAAAAAAAGTATCAAAGAAGTTTCAAATAACAGCTATGATCTGACTTTTGTATTAAGAGAGCCGAAACTGCAAGTTGTTTGAACGCACGGCTGCATAAGTGATATATTGTGAAAATAAACGAGTGGGCAGTTAGTGAGATAGTGAGGTGTTCCTCAATGTTCGTGTTTGTTTCTGGCAACTGTATCTTTGTGGGTCAACAGCAGAGCTGAAGGGAAGATAGAGCCTTAAACAACAACAATAAATTACATTTGTATAAACGCCCTTCATGTCGGGAATGTCTCAAGCTGCTGGGCAGTCAAGCTGAGGGTTGGGATCAGGAGGGGCTGAGGGAAGGAGGGTGACCAAAGGTATGGTCGAAGAGGAAGGTCTTGTTAAACATTAATGAGCATTTCAACTAGCAATAAGGTGCTGATTGTACTCAGTGTGCGTCTGGAATAACCATAAACTGATTTTGAACGAGAAATAATAATCCTTGCATTTGGTATCGCGCCTTTCATGTCAGGAGGACGTCCCGAAGAGCTTCATAGGATGTACTGTGAATTGGAGTGATTGTCTATTTGTGGGTGAACTCGGCAACCAATTTGTGCACAGCAATGTCCCACAACCAGCCATGAAGTGAATGGCCAATTTTATTTGAGGGACTGATTGCCAGGACACTGGGAGAAACTCGCTTCCCTTTTCATATAGTGCCATGGGATCTTCAAAACCATCTGTACAGGCAGACAGGACCTCAGTTTAACGTCTCATCCGAAGGACTGCACCTCCGACGAGGCAACATCGCCCCAGTGCTACATTGGTGTGTCATCTCAATGTAAGTTCAAGTCCCGACATGGAGCTTGAACCCACAACCTTCTGATCAAGAGGTGAGCCTGAACGACACACAAATGGCTGGCTGGAAGAAGACTAGAGCTCGATACTT